CCTCCCCCACCCTGTGCCCACCATGCCTCCCGCCCCCTCCCCACCCCCGCTTCGGAGGGAGCCCATCCGACAGAGCGGGAGGGCAGGGCTAGCACCCTACAGAGTCCTGGGGCGCCTGGTTCGTACCCGAGGGGGTGGGATCTGGCAGGTCACTTGTACCTGGAGGAGGGGCTCAGAGCCTGTGTGGGAAGAGCTGGGCCTGGCATCCGGCTCCCCGGGGCTGATCGGCGTCTCCTCCCCCCACCCTGGCAGATCAAGAGCGGGGAGAATGCGGCCAACATTGCCAGCGAGCTGGCGCGGCACACGCGGGGGCCCATCTACGCCGGCGACGTCAGCTCCTCCGTCAAGCTGATGGAGCAGCTGCTGGACATCCTGGCTGGGAGTCCCGGCTCCGGGATGTGAGCAGGGTCTAGTGGTTAGAGCAGTTCGGCTGGGAGTCCCGGCTCCGGGATGTGAGCAGGGTCTAGTGGTTAGAGCAGTTCGGCTGGGAGTCCCGGCTCCGGGATGTGAGCAGGGTCTAGTGGTTAGAGCAGTTCGGCTGGGAGTCCCGGCTCCGGGATGTGAGCAGGGTCTAGTGGTTAGAGCAGTTCGGCTGGGAGTCCCGGCTCCGGGATGTGAGCAGCGTCTAGTGGTTAGAGCAGTTCGGCTGGGAGTCCCGGCTCCGGGATGTGAGCAGCGTCTAGTGGTTAGAGCAGTTCGGCTGGGAATTAGGACTCCTGGGTTCTAGCCCCAAGGACGACCTTGGGTGAGTCGTGTTGTCATTCTGTGCCTCAGTTTCCCCATCTGTAAATGAGGATGCCGCTACTCAGGGAATGGGCTGTAGGGAGGTTTCTGTGCAGGTTTGCTGTGGGGTGCCCAGGCCAGGACTGCTCTGGAAGGGCCTCTGTTGGGAAGCCCTATGGACTCTCCCGCCCTCTCCCCCCATATGCCAGGGTACCTCTCCTGTGCCATCAAACATCACACACAGAAAGGTCCCTTCCCAGCTGTTCCTGCACGTCAGCCCCTGCAGTGTCCCCTGTGGGGCCATCCCTGGCTGCTGCCAGCAGCATGGCTCTGCAATGGTGTCACCCAGCATGGCCTGCAGGCAGCCTGAGAGCCACTGGCCGGGAGCCGCCTCTGAGCCTGCGCCTCCGCCCCCCCCCCCCCCCGCCCCCGGCCCCAACCCCCCGCGCG